CTGGGGTCCATTCCTGTCCAGCAATTGAAGGTTGCTATGAGAAGTTAGGTTTGCCCAAGTGCTGATTTTGGCAATTCAGCCTTTTCACATCATGTTGCATGCAAGATGTGTCTGTTGTAATTACCAGCATGTGTACGTAAATATTTTGTGTGTTATGTTTGTGTGTTTTGGCATCAGGAGCATTTCCTTAAAGAGCTAAAATAACTGTCCATGCATAGTGCCCATAATAGACTGCAGGTCATTAGAGGAATCAATCCAATCTGCACAAAAAGCCACCCAGTTGACTTTTGATTACCTCTGTCCACAAACATAACATTTTAGCATAACTTTTCTGTGCTGGATTTGTAATTCAAAAGCAAAAAGTAGAGGGCAAGAAAGAACAGCAAGTTTGTAAGGAAATTTATTGTTCTCACTAGTTTTCAACTGACCGGAGCTCAGGACACTGAGGCTCACAGCATGGATTGCTGCAGTTTTAACTAAAATCCTAATTTGTAGAAGCTCTACTCTCTATACGAACAGGTTATTTCTGAGTGCTGGATTTGTTGAATAAGGACATTGATAGAAACATTTCACTGAAAGGAAAAATAAGGTAGAAAATCAGAAATTTGTTGTATCTATTCCTTGTTTTGAAAGAGAATGAAGTCCATAAACTCCAGACTGTCACTAAGGACATAGATCTGGCCCATTTGTTCTTGGTCCCTTGGTGGGACCAAGGAAATGAAACTGATGTTCAGCCTGGTCAGGTGGCAGGCTCCTGCACATTCATGATGATTGGTGTTGAGGGAACCCAGGAAAATATGAGAATGCTCTGTATAAACTTCTGTGAGTAGCAATACAGGGCTAGTATTATATCTGTTACCATTCAATAAATGAAATTGTTGTAAGGCTGTAAGACTGATTGATGTTCAGAAATTTTCACAGCAAACCTGTGTGAAGCATTTGTGAAGCTCTTCCTAAACTTACTATTTTGGCCAAATATGCATGTATTTCCCAGATAATAAGCAAAAGACAGCTATCTTTCATAACTCTTCTATTCCAAATGGTAAGGTCCTAGATCTAGCAGCATCAGAACTCTTAACAAGAACAGTTACACAAGGTCATTGTGTTGCTAGCTACCAATTTTTTCTTCACTTCCATTCAGGAAAAAAAAAAGTGTATTTTCTGCTCACACTCTCTAAAGCAATTTCTCACAAGGCCATGAGAAAACTTGGAACATTTAATTATAAATTTTAAATTATAGTTATTTACTTAGAATTAATGTGGGCTCATAAAGAAAAGCAACAGGAGTTATCACTGCTAGCTGAATCAATAACATACGTAATATGAAATATATGAAACAAATGTGACATTCACAGCACATGGCAACATCCTTTTATTGTTATATGCAGTGTATATGGACATTATATTAATTTAAAATGAGCATGCTTGTACCTCAGTGTTGTCCTTGTTAAGATCTTGTGTGATTTCTCTGTTGTTACGTGGCTCTACTGTAGATGTTAAACACGGTGGTTGTTTTTTCTGTGGCAGGGCTTTAGATCAAGTCCTCGTCATGCCAGAAGACGTGTAGCACCTCGCCTTGAGGAAACACAGCCTTTAGTAGAAGCTCACCATCTAAGCGAGCAGGAAACCTCTGTAAGAAAAAGGAAAATCAAGAAAAGCAGCCGAGTGCAACCAGAATTTTATCATTCTGTTCAAGTTACACCAACTCGAAAACCAGTAAGTGTTCTACCCATAGAGATAAGTGGCACTGAAAGTACACTAAGGGGCATGTAATATGATTCTGAATTTTGGGCCACCTGTATTCTGTCCCTCAATTTTAAAGATCTTTTCAGTTCTCACATTCAGTGACTCCACATGCAACAGTGTAAGAGTTCACCTAATGCTGATTCATAATTTCAAAAAATACAATTCTGAAGAGGGGTTTTTTGAATTTTGATTTAATATTCAGCAAATAGTTAATCATCACATATTTTATTTGATAGTTTTATACTGATATTATTTAACAGATTTTTATAGCATATAATTGAAACTGAGATCAGATATTATTGAAATTCCTCACTAAATTTATCAGAGAATCTATGTACTGAACCAAATTTATATTAAACCTCATTACTGCATACAATTTTTGAGGTCTCTTCTGCTTTATACAGTATTTATAATACTTCTGCTCAATTTTGCATAGAATCTTATTGCTCTTTGCTCTTCAGCTTGATCTATACGTAGTTCGTTTAATTTTGATATCCTACTTTTAGGGAGGAAATATGACAATTCCAAATGCGAATGTATGTAAAAATAATTGTATGTCCTGCAGACATCATGCATTTCTCTTTTTAATAAGAATTCACCTTTTTGATGTGTTTGTTGACTAACCTATCTGCACCTGTGTTAAGAGGCTTGAACTACTTCCAGTAAGACAGCATTATTAAAAAGGTAACCATTCAGCATACCCAATTAAAGACTGTCTCAAGGTTCTTCCATCCAAACTGAACATTCTAGGATTTCTGTTAATGCATTACCAAGAATTACCAGGAAGCTCTGTAGTTAATTTGAAAAAGAGCATTCTTTGGTGGAAGTGTATTGCCTGAGAGCAAGAAACTTCTGCACAGAAAGGAAGGCCGAATTTGCCAGCACCAGCCACAAGTTTTACCTATTAGCCAGCATACTTAGTTTCTCTGCTTTCAGTTCACTGCTTCCCAGTTTCCTCTGTTCTCTCCTGTTTCTACTTCTCTCTTGTTTTACTCTGCTGCTGTTCCTATTGCTTAGTTTGATCTGATTGATGTATCTTATCTTTTTAAAACTTTTTCCTCCCTACCCTATTCCATTCGCTCCCATCCTACCTTGCTCTTCAGGCTACTTCATCTGACTCCATTATTCTTGTAAGGTCTCTATCTTTAAACCTGGTCTTGTCTGTTTTTTACTTGCTTCTTATCCTTTGCCCACTTTATTCTCCCTCTTTCCCCTCTCTGACCTCCTCTATTATTTTCCATTCCAGAATCTATTTTTTTTTATTCCCTTTCTTATTTGTTTGTTCTTAATATTCACAGAATCATAAAGGTTGGAAAAAACCACTAAGATCATCTTGTCTGCCCATCAGCCTATCACTATGCCCACTAAACCACATCCCTCAGTGCTACATCTACACTTTCCTTGAACACCTTCAGGGATGGAGTATGGTTCAGTCACAGCCTGAACCACTGATTGAACACCTGGGGAAAAGACCCCACAGCCCTGGAAGGGCAGGTGAAGGTAATTCACCTGTGCAATCAAAGGGGTGGAGCCAGGCTCAGATCCCATTTAAGGGCTGAATAGCACTGAGGTTGCTTCTCTTACTGGTGATCTCTCTTTTGTGGAGTCTTTCTATGAGCCTGGATCTTTGGAGATGGGTGAGCATCCTCCTTTTCTTGTTAACACGTTCTCGTTGTGCTGGTACTGCTGCTGTTACAGATGGTGACTCTACCACCTCTTTGGGCAGAATGTTCCAGTACTTCACTACTCTTTCCAAGAATGTTTTTCCTAATGTCCAACCTGAACCTCCCCTGGTGCAATTTGAGGTTATTATCTCTTGTCCTGTTGCTACTCACCTAGGAAAGAAGGCCAACCCCCTATCTTTCCATAGCCTCCAATTCAAGCAAAAATAGAGCATGATAGTTTCCCCTCAGCCTCCTCTTCTTCAGACTAAGCCTCAGTTCCCTTAGCTGTTCCCCATAAGACCTGTACTCCATATCCTTCACAGCTTCATTGCCCTTCTTTGGCAGGGCCTTAATATCTTCCTTGTAGTAAGGGGTCCAAAACCGAACACATTACTCAGTATGTAGTCTCATTTTCTTCTCTGGTAGACCTATGCTGAAAGTAGGTTCATCTGTAGTTGCTGAGGGTATTACCAACTGTTGCTGATTATCATCATGGAGATTAAGAAAGGTGGTGCTGAATTAAAGAACCAAAACTGGAAATTCTATGAGCAACAAAATAGGCTTTGAAGAATGCTTTAGTGAAGCTAATAGAGTTCTATTTTTCCCTTAAGTTAGGAGCATGTCAGAGACTTTAGGATCAGCAAAAATAAATAATGCAAGAACAAGAAACGGGCACAGTTACTGTGCAACTTCAGTTTCACTGCATTTCACAGATCTGCTCGTGTTTGACAAGTCTTACCATTGAAACAGTAATAAATCCTAGGCTTAGTGTAAACTTCTCTCAAAGCTGTCACCATTGTGTTGGTACCTTGAAATTACTTTTGCTGTGTATCTCCTATGCAATTTTGTATAGTTCTTTTGATAGTCTTTTGTTCTAAAGCCTTGATGAACTCACATTATTAAAAAAAAAAGTATCATTATTGTTATTACACTACAATCCAGAAAACATGAGTCACCAATTTCATTCCTTATGGACATTCTAAGTTATTCTCAATGTATTATTGATGTCATGGTGACAGCATGCATAAGGTTCATGCCATGACAAATCATTGCGGTGTTGCAAAGTTCCTCAGAACCACAAAGTCATCCATCCTTCACTTTGGTGCAGCTTTGCTCTGCTCTGTCTTGACATCTCAAATATGATACTTTTGGCCCTTGGCTTCATACAGTTTTACATGACTTAGTGCCAGAAATGCTTGTTAGTCTGCATAATTCTCCATCATTTTCCATTATTTTTTCCTGTTATTCTTAGTTCTGCTCACTTGAGGCACTAAAAATAAATCATCTATTGCCTTGATGTTTTCACCGTGGAAGTATTCATAGGCAGTTCTGGCCATATCCTGCTTAGTCATTGCTTGAAAAAATGATGTCTGCTAACTAGAAGATATAATTTCTGCTCATAAAAGATTTCTCTATATGATTATTTTCATTGCTTTTTGATTAATTCTGTGTTTTGTTGTTGTTCCTGTATTCTGATAAGAGGTATTTCCAAAGCAATTATGAAGCAGCCTTGTGGAAAACTTCTTTGCTCCAGAAAATTTTTGTTTAACCAGCCCTAACGTATGTTAGTCTGTGTTGCCTCTCAATTAAGATACAGTAACACTTATAATAACATAATAAACACTTTTCACGTATTTCTTTAAAATTTTTATTTGAAGTTTAAATGCTAAGCTTCCTGCTGCTTTGGCTCATCTTGTATTTAGTTGACATTATTGCATGTAAATATGTTTTTTTCATTTTCCTGGACATACCCAAAATTATCTCCATTTGCTTGGCTTATTTCTCACTCACTTCATAGTAAACTGAGATCTTTCGAGTATCATGTCAAAACTAAATTAGGTGTATGTTTGGGAATAACATTCCTGAATAGTTTTCTCTTTGAAAATCTCCATGAGCAGATGTTTGCAGAAATAGAACATCAGTTTCTTTTGATTTTAATACTTTCGTATACTTTGTCTTAATGCTGATCTTTACAAGAAATAGTTAATATCCTTTAACACTTGATTTTATTCATCCTCTTGCAGTGAAACATCAGCATAATATTGTGCAGTTTACCTCTTTTATGACAATGTTCAATATTGTGCCCTGTAGGTCTTCTCATTGGTAGTTGTGTTATTTGAGCTGTTCTGTACAGTCACAGTTCAAGGCCCTCTTCACACCAAGAGCATGGATACCTATTACCAAAGTGTGCTTTGAATTTTTGAACACAATGGAGAACCTCTGAGAAGCAGGACTGTGTTCTTTAAATTAGCATGACTTCACACAAGTCAAAGGAGCCCTATGTATCTCCTTTCAAGAATCAGATGGCTCATTCTGAATAGTAGTTCAATTTTCTGCAAAAGGGAATTTTTTGCAAAAAGGAGCCTTTTATGAGTTTGCTGCTGTCAAGAGAGATTTCTCCAGGGCGAGTTTTAATCTGTGCAAATGGAAGACTTTTATGACAAGTGTTTTGCAAATATTATCTGTGTTTTTCATTGTGGTCTAATCTAAAGCAAGATTATACCACTCTGTAAATTATTAAGTTTGTTTGTCTGTGATGGCCTGGAACCAGGTGATAACCTTGAGTTAGTGTAGATGTGCCTAGCTTCTGTGCTGTGGACTCAGTTAGGCATACAATTCTGACAGTTCTATCCTGTGTGTTTAAATGCATAGCTGAAAGGAGATGCTCTCAAAGCAGCACCTTTTGATATCTTCATTGTTAAACCATTTGAAGTGCTTCTGAATCACCTGACTCATTCGAGCACCCAGGTTGTTTAAGATGATGCCTATCAAAATTTACACTTGCATTTGTCATGGCAGCATCTCTTCAAGCGGCAGGTGAGACTACAGAGGCTGTAAGTAAGCCTTGTTCCTTCACTTTCAGGTGCATGTGTTAAAAGTCTACTGATGTAAGCAGCCTTGTTTGGCTCCACTGAGACTCCTGTGACTGAGGTGAAGCTTACACTGTAAAGAGTCTGATGACGCAGACTGGAAAGCAAAGTTAATCAGTTTATAATGCATTTAAGACCATGAGCAACACCATCCAGTATTATTCAGCTATCCTGGTTTTTGCTTTTATGTATTTTAACCTTTATTTATGAGGGGGAAAAAAAAAGAAACTATTACAATTCCAGAAGAAAAATATATGATTTTAAAAATGTTTGATACCAGATCAGTAACAGAGGTCTAGGTATTAGTTGATACTTGTGTTACTTCACATGAAGTATTTCCTGTGAAAAAATTATTTTGAAGGCCTTTTTAAGTGTTTTTTTTTTTAAAGTCTCATGACATAATTTCCATTTTTTTCTTTATCTAATGCTATTTACTGTTTTTCCAATATCAAGATGTACTTTACTTGATATTTTGAGTGACCCAATTGAGATGACATACAAAAATTACTCATCACATTGCACAAGATCTGGTTAATTCCAACTATTAGCTATTTCATCTACAGGTTACATAGCTTTCTTTTGGAGACATCTCCATGGGTTGGGTTGCGTCTCTTGTGAATCACATTTAGAAGCAGATATGGCAAAGCACAACCAAGTCTTCTTTCATCTTCAGCATTTTTTAACATTCTATTAATGCTCTCAGAACGTGTGACAAATCTTTGAGCACATGAAGCACACATTCACTCTCAGGATGAATAGAGCCACAGTGAAGAAATGCAGGGAACGCATGAATGCAAAGAACATGTGAATGAACATTAAAAAAGGGAAACAATGTGTGTAGTTTTTGCTTCAGTATCTAAAGAATATTGATATTGATTTTAAGAAGAACTGGAGAGGGTTTATTAAGTGATTAACTTATAAAAAATTTTAACAAGTTTGAAGCATCTTAGCATCTTGAAAAATATCTCTAGGTGCCTGTTCTGTGTAAGTTGCATTTGTTGCCTTCAAAATAAATGAGAGCCTTCAGTGGACATTAGGTTGACTTCAAAGGGGCTCTCTCCCTTTCCAAACACACAAATGCCCACCAAGGGACTGTTTGCACCTGTTTCTTGGACTTCTATGTTTCACTGTTTTTCTTAAAGCAGATAAATCCCCTCATAAACCCTTTTGAAGCAGTTTTGCACAAAGACTCTTTCCCACTTTTCTGTTAGTTTCTGTGACCTCCTCCCTTGTTGCTTGCTCCTGACTTCCTTTTAGCTTCACCCTGCAGCTCATCTGTTGCGTGCTAGAAGTTGCCCATTTCTTCTGTTCCTGTTGCCCAGCTCCTAGGTAGTTTAGGACTTTGAAGAGATTTCTTGAGGGTTTCTTACTTGTAGGTCATAGAGGTGATGTCTTTACAAATTTAAAAATATTTTTTGGTTAAAATACAAAAATACAGTGCTAAGAACTTGATTTGAGATTTAAAATGATTATTGTTTTTCTAGTGATTTTCTGTACAGTAGCAGAAGGCAGGTTAAAACATCATTAATCAGCTATGATTCTGTTGCAGTGGTGTTGTTTGCACAGCTTAAAATGACCAGTAATTGTCTCTCAGATGCCTAGTAATTATACTCTAAATGCAGATGTTTCCTCTTCCTCAGGAGTCAGTCTTCAGAGTTGTATTGTATAACATCCTACTGTAGCACATAAACAGTTCATCTTTATATAGCAAGGGACTCCATTATCCATTAGTATTTATATAGAGCATTGCACCTGGTATTACGTTAAAAGAACAGGCTGACAAAGGCAGGTATTCAAATGTTAGGAAATGCTGGAATTAATGTTACATGTGCAGCTTTACTTCAGTTGACTATGCATCTACATTGCCATATAGACTGTAAATGTATGCTGGCACACTCTTTATTTCAGGATGTACTCTGTACATCCATTGTAGGATGGAAGTGCTCTTGAGATGACTCTTATGTGTGGGAGTCTTACTGCAGAAGTTGTAGAGTGTGTAAATGAATAAAACAGGAGATTGCAAGAGAAGAAAGGATCTTTTATTTCTATAAAAAGCAGTCAGTGCTGCCTTGAAGAATGATGGGCACAAGGTCACTGTGAACTTGCCGATCGACTGGCTTAAAACACTTTATCCTCCATTTTCCAATTGCCTGACTTACAGCATGTAGTTAGGTTTATTAAAGTTCTCAAACTGCCACTCAGCATGGAACTCCACGTGTCCAGGCTCTGAGTATTACTAATGCATGATTCTAGTAACTCTTAAAAATGAGATCCCTGTCCCTAGTTTGACCTCAGGTACCAAAATTGATCTATTGGTTTCAGTTTGTCCCCTGTATAATTCAAAAGATCATCATTAATTGCGAAGATACCACGCAGTTAGATTCACTGTAGTGAAGAGCGCCACAAAACAGTCTGCAAAATAATTTTTTCTTCACATCATTATTTCAGCAGCATAAAGAAAAGTTCTGGGGCTGCCCACTGAAAAGCGTATGGCAAAACCAAATACTGAGCAACTATTCATGGAGTGAATACCACCCATCACTTGCACTAAACGGGCTAGAGATTGTGGATGCAATAGTGTATGGCCAGATTGTTATGACTGCATCATGATGTGGAAATAAAAAGGCTGAATTAAGGGGATTGAGGGATTTAGTAGCATCTTACTGCTTGATTTTGCAACCTTAAGAACAGTACTTTAGCAGGAACCTGGTGTTAAAAGATTTTACTGTTGAAAATAATTTACTTAAAAAGAAAGCCCTGTTGTGTGGCTCATGAGCAGGTTTTGTCACTTGAACTATGCCAGAGAAATTTCTGTTATTGAAACTCGGAGATTGACAGTATTTGTATTCCTCCATGAGAATCAATAATACAGGGGAAGAGTTAATTTTCTAGAGGAACTTTCAGATATTTGCTGTTGGTGGAGTTCCCTGCAGTTTCCTACAGGCTCTCCAGGGGAATGTGCTTTTTTGTGCACATTCTCCTTAAGCTTTACTACTTTTGGCCTATTCCTTCCAGCCTGCTCCTGGCCTTCCTCCATCCTGCTGCTGGCTCCTTTCTTCTGCCTGCTCAGCCATGCTTCCCACCACTTGCTCCTCTGCTGACCCCAGCCCTCCTGCTCTTGCTGTTAGTCCTTGTGTCATTCCTGTGTCTCAATCCCTGTGAATCCAGCCCCAGGCTCAGTTACCTTGGTGCTCAGAGGTACTTGTCTAACCAGCTCTTCAATTTCTGTGTCTCCCTGAGGCCCCCTTTTTACCTTCCTTGGCTCCTGTTTGTATCTCTTCTTGGAGACTGTCTCCTCAGTTCCTGTCTGCCTTGTTCATCACGTAACCCCATTCAGAGCCTTTTGCTGAGGCACTACCAGTTTCACAACAGCTCATCAGATCCTTGATTCTCCCTTGGTCCACTCTTTCCAGCACAGTCACTTGTCCCAGCTGTTGTCCTGCAGCTCTGTATATCCTCTAGTCTTTATGCAGGCTGTTGAGCCCTTAAACGCTTTGTCTCTTCAGCTCCAGCCCCCAGATTGTATTTCCGGGCTCAGCCAGTCTCTGTGTTTGTCCCTCAGGCTGTCAGTCCAGCTGTATTTCTCCTGCCCTTTCCTTCAGCATCCTGGTTCCGGTGTTTGTCCTCTCTGCATTCAGATCATATGGCTTTTTCCTCTTCCTAGCTAAGCACGGCCGAGCAAATCACCAGGAGCATATAAAAAAAACAGTTCTCTCCTGCCCATCAGGTCTGCTGCCTGCCTGCCCTTGCTTTCCATGCTTCCTGCCCACATTGCAATCAGTCTGCAACTGTGGCAAGTGACTATTAGGCAGAGAGATCAGCTTTGTCCACAAATCTCCATGCTGGAAGTATCCTGTTCAGCTTCTCAGCGAGGATGATAGGTGTCCTCAGATGGGAGGTAAGAGCTGCGAGGATGGGGTTTGCGTGGTCAGTCTGTGGTGGTGGAGCAGTGGCCTGGCAGCTGTACTTCTGACAGTCTTTGGTTTGTGTGTGCCAACCTACAAAGGTTTTAGCTATAAGTTCAAATGTGGCCTTGTTGGAAAAAAATCCAGTGAAATCACACTGGTAAACACCTAAGGCCTAGGAATAAATCAAACTATTTAACTTTGCAGAGAAAGGCTACTAGATGACAGGGATGAGCAGATAAGAGATTAAGAGAAGTTGACCAGATCAGCAAAACCAAAAAGTGCTGAGAGGAAATATGATGCAGGCTTTGCATCAGGGAAGCAAAAGGAGTATTTAAGCAAATGAATTCTGTTATCTCAAAAACTAAAGACCAAGTGTAAATTTCAGGTGCCGGCAGAGGAAAATTACTTCTAATCAAGTAGGTTCTGCAGCAGCTCTGTAGTAGTCAGAGCAGTGAGATCAAAACCACGCTTTCAAGAGCTCTACTTTATGCTCTGCGGTGCCAGGGATAGCACATGATATTTATATCTCAAAGACTTATCACTGGCAAATGTTGACAAACTTTTAACAAAGATGACAAAAGCCCTGTATACAGCTTGATTCAAAATAGCTGTTTCAAAGCCTAGAATCCTCTCCATTTTATTTTTTTAATTCTTAGTGTTGACAGAGAGCTACTGGATATTGTCATCCATTTTGCTCTCAAGCTTCTGAGTCAGCCTTTGCCTCAACATTTTCAGGAAAACTCAAGCTTGTCCAGGTAATACTTTCAACCAAACATAAGGGAACCAAAAATGGATTTTATATCTGAAAACAATTTGGTAACTTAATTACTATCTAACTAACGCTAGTATTACTAGTGTTATGTAATTGTAAGAACTTACATTCTTTAAATGGTTAAATGTCAATTGGTCAAGCTATGAAACTTTGTTTTAAAACACTGGATTAAAACAGCTGGAAAAGAGCAAATGAATGTGTAATTGTGAAAGGAGGGAAAAGGATCAGCCAAAAATGCTAACACTTGTTACTAACACTATGATATCAATACCACAATTTAAGATTTTCATTTCTTCTAAATTTCTTCTAAATCCTTTTTTTATTTTTTTTTTTCTGGAAAGTAATCTGTGCTTATCAGAGATTCTAAAGCCATTTTATACTTCAGCTTGCTTTTCTTTTACACTCTGATACAGAATTTCTGGTTGAGAAATTTGTTTTTTATTAAAACATATATAAAAACTACAACGAGAAGTTTAGAAGGCAGTAAAAAGTGTCTGAAGCTAGATGATTTCTGGTTCCACATTCTTCCTCTGCTGCATGATTGCCTTCTGCTCTCAATAAGGAGATAAAACCATCTGTGCCCTCCAAAAACCTTAAATCTACCTGTCACATTATTCTCTTTTGTGTCTGGCACATGAGGGGGATCTAAATAAATGCAAGATAACTGTAACTAAAAATTAATTAAAAATATTTTTAGTTAATGGAGGGTTTTTGCAACATCTGTATAAAACAGTCATCTGAGGTACATGCATTTCTTCTACAAAAAATAGTTCATATGAGACTGGGAATTTTGAGGCTATGAAATTGTGATATTTTAGGTACTTCTCATATAAGTATCTATGAAACACCGATTTTTAAAAATCATGGAAATAACACTTGTTGATTGGTTTAGTATAAAGCTAAACTAAAATACTTACTCTGCATACTGTAGTTTCCCAGATGCTCAGAGCTGAAATTCTTATTTTCGCTTCTAAGAAATCTTCAGTAACTTTGTTTGCTTCCACAAATGTAGGTACATTCCTTCAGGGTTAAGTCTTGCAATTCATATTGGAAAACTGAAAAGAGAAATGGATGAGAAATAGAGGAATGGATTAAATATGGAACATATCAGGTCTGTCATGCTGATCTAATTTTATTCATTTGCAAGTTACGTTCAGAGATAATCACAGTTAGTACAGTTTTACTAAGCAGTGCATTGGGAGAACTGGTAGCTTTGGCACAATGTGGCTACTTTAGCCTGAATATATTTGGCCCTGCTTATGTCCAGGTCTTACACAAAATGAAGCACGCCTTGCTTTCCAACCTATTCCTTTGAAAAAGAAAGAAAAATAAAACCTACAAGCAGGTGTTCCTCACACACCAATATACTCTAAACTGCAGGGAAGTTTTCTGCCTTGTTTTTCTCTTATCCCATTGCCATTGGTAAAAATGGCTGAGACCTGTGAAAACTGTCATCTGACAGTTAACAGGGAATTATAAATGTGGACCATCTCTCAACTTGTTGCTCCTGAAAGAGATCACCAGCACCCGAAGTAAATGAAACAAAAGCTTTCTGTGGTGTAATATTCACTAATTGATTTTCTTTTAAGTTACAGAAGATGGGATCGTGTCAGACCAGTAGGTGCCTGACATGAGAAGTGGTACACATGCTGCGTAGTTTCATGTCTCATCCAGGAATAAACAATGAATGCTTATTTCTCTCTTGCCATTAAAAAGACAGATGGACAATGTAAACTGTCCTTACAAAGTAATAAACAGTCTTCATGAGAACTGTTCACTAAGGTGTTTAATGTAGAAACAGACTCTTGATGCTTAGGAGCTTCATATTTAGAGTATTTACCTGCTGGCTTTCTGCTCTGTAACATTATACAAAAAGCCAGAAACTCTACTCTTACATTTCCACATCCTGTTAATGAAGGCACTTTCAAGTATGAACGTGCTCTTAAATGACTGGCACAGAACCAGAGGAAGAAATACTCATTTAATAGAGCTGAGTCTCCATTGGTGGATTTTCTTTCTTTCCTTCCTTCTTCCTCCTTCTTCCTTCCTTTCTTTTACTGTTTTTTTTTCTTCCCCCCCCCCCCCCCAGCTTAGCAGAGTTGCTTTTGCATTGCCCTTATTTGCACTTTTATTTCTGTGTGTTTTGAATTTTGATGCTTTCTGACAGCATGCAGACCCAGGGACTCGCACAGCCTGGTTACATACATTGGGTGTTTTGTATTCTGCATTGCATTACCATCTAATCAGGTTAAAGGGGTAAAGATTTACTAATGGGAACATTCAGTTGCCCCTAGATTTTGTCTTAAATGTATTAAGTAATTTTACTATAAAATTTTATCTACTTTGATATCATTCAATCTGGGATGAAAACAGCACGTTACATTCAACTGGTACTCTACATTATTCTAAATTATAAGGGATTTTGTTGAAACACATTCAGTAAACCACGATTCAGTGTTTTATATCTGCTCATGTTTATTCATTGTTCACAACAAACACCACAAAAGAAAAGAAAATGAATTCCATAAGCTCTGAAATACTTTAGTATGAATGAAACATGAAGAACTTGTGTCTAAACTGAGGGTTTAATCTCAGTTAGAAGCATGAGGCAATGTTCTTTCTCTACTTCCCAAAAGCTTCCAAAAAGCAAAGTTAAGGGACCCACTGCAATGGAATTTCTTCTCAAAGAGAAGATTCTTCTGTATTATGATTCAGTTGCACAGCACAAACCCCAGTGCCATCAAGATGGGGAACTGTACAATGTGATGATCATTCGGTCTCAGTCTCCCAGCTGTTCCTGCTGCCTGGATTGCATGGCAGGCAGTTCAGAGCCTGCTGATGTTTGGCTGAATATGAGCCAGCAGTGTGCCCAGGTGGCCAAGAAGGCCAATGGCATTCTGGCTTATATCAGGAATGGTGTGGTGAGCAGCACTAGGGAAGTAATCCTGGCCCTGTACTCAGCACTGGTGAGGCCTCACCTTGAGTACTGTGTTTGGTTTTGGGCACATGGGCACAGAAGGCACATGGAGGTGCTGGAGCAGGTCCGAAGAAGGGTAACAAGGCTTGCAAAGGGCTTGGAGAATATGCCCTACGAGGAGAGACTGAAGGATATGGGGCTGTTTGGTCTGGGAAAAAGGAGGCTGAGGGGAGACCTTATTGCTTTCTTCTAACACCTGAAAGGAGCTTACAGCGAGAGCAGGGCTGATCTCTTCCTGGTGACAGGACGAGGGGAAACGGCCTCAAGTTGTGCCAGGGTAAGTTTAGGTTGGATATCAGGAAAAACTTCTTTACAGAAAGGGTTCTTAGGCACTGGAATAGGCTCCCCAGGGAGGTGGTTGAGTCACCATCCCTGGACGTATTTAAAAACCATTTGGATGTGGTGCTCAGGGACATGATTTAGCGGAGAGTTGTTAGAGTTAGGGTGGTATGGTAAGGTTGTGGTTGGACTCGATGATCTTTAAGGTATTTCCAACCTGTGCAGTTCTATGATTCCATGATGTTCAAAATGAATCTCTGCTCATCTTTCCCCTTGAGGAATGACAGTGCAAAACCCGGCAGTGTTCAGGCAGGATCAGATCCTGTTTGGGTGTGCCTGATGTGATGGAGGTGTGGTGCTGCGTGTCAGCTTACGCTTTTTTCCACCTATCATCTGTAGGGCCCTCCTTACCACAAACAGTCCTCTTTTCTCCCCTCGAGAGAGAATCATGACTTGGTCCTTCGCCAAACCCCTCTTACAAGAAGCGTGCTATTGCTTCTTTGAAATCCCACCTCCCCTTACTGGAAACCAGCTAGCAGTTACAGGGCAGCAGCGAGCCTGACTCAGACAACTGCTGTGTCACTGACGGCAGGGCTCGGCGCGGTACCGGCAGCAATGCGCGCTGCTCTCTGGGCCGCCGCAGCCGCCGGGAGCGATGCTGGCTGCGGGCGCTTTGCACCCCCCTGCGGCGCTGCCGGGGAAGCCGTGCGTCAGCACTAGCGCTTTAATGCAGGCAGAACTGAACCCAGGTTTGCTTATGTGCCACCAATAGGCTTCGGTGCACGAGCTGCTCTAGGCATACATACTATGCAAATCCAGCAGCTCTCCCCGGCTGTGTCCGACCACAGAGGCGATGGATGAGTCCTCAGCCTAGGGAGCAGGAGGAATGCACGATGGGAGTGAGGCACGGAGTAAGAGGCAGCATCAGGGCTGGGATCTTCCTGCTCTGAGGATCAGCCCTGACCCTCGCTGTGTCTCAGGGCAGGCAGGGAAGGAGAGGCCTGATCCAGGTTTGAGTGGACTGTGTACAGTATGTATAATTTCCACTTGCTTACAGCAGTGTAACAATAGAGGTGCTTTCCATATTTTTTATTTTAAACCAAAGTAGGTCTAGATCATGAGCTTTGTTAGTGCGTGCATGAAGGAAGACAACTTAAAAGAGCATGGCTAATGGGAATATGCACAGATGCCAAAGGCTGTCCTACTTCTGCCCGTTCCATGTAATTTCTCAAAAGTGTGGGAGCTGGAGCTCATCACAGAGCTCACCTCCCAGTGCTGTGGTCAGAGGGACGGCATCCTTGTTCTTAGAATGGATCTCTCCACAAAGCGCATGGCCCGTTCAGTGTTATGCAGGGAATCATCACCAGACAGTGCTTTTGGTTTCTAAGTGTAAGAGCAGCTATGAAACGAGTTATTTAATCAGTGAGAATGGCTACCAAGGGCTCCTTTGAGGAATGGGAAACTTTCTGGATAAAAATTATATTGCACTTTGAGAAGTAAATGTAGGGTTCAGATCTCTTTCGTCAAAGCTTCAGTAACATCTGCCATTCTACTTTGTATATTCCCATTGCTATATAAATATCAACAAAGTATTGCTTCCAGTCTTCCTGTTACAAACTAGGAAGGAAGAAGGTGAAGATGCTGAAAGGCAAAATTCGTGTCCTCATTGAGCACTGAGCACCACTGGAAGGCACAGGTCCAAAGCAGGATGCTGGGATTGCAGAGAACACTGTTGTTGTACAATGTGGAGCTGTGGACAGGCCACAGGAACCCTATTCTCCCGTGCTGCTTCATGCTGTTTATTCTTTGCTATATAGCGATCAAGAATTCAGTCAGTTGTTTGTAAGCATCCATTTCTTTCTTCCCTGCCCTCTGGACTTGGCTATCCAGTGCTGGAGGGAGAAAAGAGACTTGGCAGTGCAGTGAACAAGGTCAGCAAAGTGTTCAGGAATAAGAGATCGCCTTATTTACATGGGGGATTCCTTCTTTAAATAAGGGAGCTAAGCAGATCGTTTGTTATTGGCAGTTCTGTGTGTAGCACATTGTGCATCACACTGTTTCTCTGAACTATGTGTTTTTTAAAGGGTAAATACTCCTGATGTAATAATAGTGGCTCATTTGCCCATCCCATGAGTGCCGATAAGAGAACTGTTCAGACAGCAGCAAGGAATTTTATCAGAACTCATTCACAGCATAAATTTCTTCTGTAAGCAGAGCCATATGGATTTCAAGGCACATCCTAGATAAGAGCGCTCCTGAGCAGGCCTAAAACATAGGCACTTTTGTTATCCAACAGCCTGAAGCCTGCATGGCCTGGATGAGGGCTGCCAAGTGCCCAAAAGTGTGTGCCTCTCTCAGCTGAGGCTGGCATAGCCCTAAAAACCAGATACAGAACCCAGGCCCACATCTGGCTGCGTTTTCAAAAGGAGAACATGGTAGTGCCCATCTCTAATCCCAAATCGAAGGTGTCGCTGTCGCCCATCCCCTGCAGGCATCACATCTCGGCAGAGAGAAGGCACAGAGGAGAGGCCCCAGCAGCCCTCCCTCCTGCCCTGCTGACCTGTGAGAGTGCGCTGCATCCTCATCCTCAGCTCTGCCGTGCAAACCTCATCATTCCGATATCTCCGCTTCCTTCCACACCCTTTGGAAAGGACAGCGAGGACGGCAGCAGCCTCTCCCCGCACTGCAACCGCGCTTATTTACATCTCCAAACGTACTCCCGGGGAAAATTGCCGCCTTCAGCGCGGTGCGGGCGGTGCTCACCGTGGCCGACCCGAAGGACCCCCCGGCCGGGGTCGGGGCCGTGCGGTGCGGGCGGCCCTGCGGGGGCGGGCGGGCGTTTTCCTGCCGCGTTCTCGGACCGGCGCCGGCAGCTCTGCCCCTCGCCCGGGCGGGGGAGCCAAACGCCGGCGGTTGGCAGCGGGAGGGTTTGTTGTCACCGCCGGCTTCATTGTGGGAGCAGCGGGCGGAGGGCTCGGAGCCGCGGGCATCCATTCCTCCGAGCAAGACCCCCGAAGCCGCCTCGGGGTTCGGAGGATCGCCCGACGGTGCCTTCGCGGCGATGGTGAGCGGCGTTCCTCTTCCCCGGCCCCGGTTTTTGCGTCCCCCCACCCCACGCCTCAGGGACGCTTTCCCACGCCACGCGTCCGGCTCGGGGACCCCCGCGCGTCCTCCCGCACACCCACGGCCCCGTGTGTCTGTGTCTCCCCGTGCAGAGCTCCGGCACCGCGTCCTACCGCTGCTCCATGTCGTCCTCCGCCGATCTCTCCGAGGAGGAAGACCTCAGCCAGAAGTCGGGCACGGGGTCGCCGGCACCGGGGGACACGCTGCCCTGGAACCTGCCCAAGCACGAACGCTCCAAGCGGAAGATCCACGGAGGCTCCGTGCTGGACCCGGCCGAGCGGGCCGTGCTGCGCATCGCCGGTAAGGGGCGGATGGGACCAACGCGCGATGCCCTCCCGAGCGCGGTGACTAAGCGCTGCGGCCGGGCTGGGCGGGAGGGCCGGGCTGCGGGCAGGTGCGCGCGTTTAACTTTGATGCGAAGCCACAGGGGCCGTGGGAGGGTCGCGGCGTTATCGCGGCTCCCGGTGGACGGGGCGGCCACAGCCCCCGGGCAGTGAGAAGGCGGGCGGGGGTTCGGGAGCAGCGTGTACGTGAACGGGCGTCGGGAGGATGCGGCGGGGCTCGGCGCTCCCGGGGGACGCCGGCGCTTCCTTCTTTCCCTGCTCACGGGGCCCCCCCGCGGGCCGGATCTTCGCCGGCGGCAGAGGAAGGCGGGGGAGAACAGAGAAGTGCCGGCGGCGGCGCTCGCGGCGCGCCCCGAAGCGGAGGGCCGGAGCCGGGCGGGAGGCGGCCGGGCTGGGGCCGCCCCCTGCGCGCTGCGAGGGGCGGCTGCTGAAACCCGAGCATGGGCGTTTCCTCGGCCAGGCCGGCAGCGTCCTCCTCTGCCGCCTCCACCCACCCTCCTCCAGCAGGCAGTCTTTTTTTTTTTTCGCCCCTTTAATTTTATTTTTTTTTTGCTTCTTGGCCGTTCCCGAGGCTGCTTGCCTTTGGGAGACGAGCGGGGCGGTGGGCAGCGCTAGCGGCCCCCGGCCATGGCTGGCTACCTCTCTCCCGGCGCGTACTTCTATGCCGAGGAGCAGGAGTACCTGCAAGCCTACGAGGATGTGTTGGAGAGATACAAAGGTAGGGCTGCCGGCAGGTGCAGGGCGGCGGTGCGGGCTGCTCCCCCGGGAGGGAGGGAGCGGGCGGAGGGGCCGCGGGGCGCCCGCACCGCGCTCTGCTGCTGTGGGGAGAAAGGCGATGATGACTGGTGCTGATGGGTTTTCTTTTTTATTCGCCGTTCTCCACTTACCCCTATGAAATGCGGGCAGGGTCTCAGTGTCCGTTTAGCTGCCCTGAAAGCTTGTGCTGATTTTTCCACCGTTTTTTAATCTTGTTTTTGTAGCCAGGCAAAGGAGGATCTTAGCGCACATAGCACCTGAGTTTTGTCATTGAAAGCAGGGAAAATACAGGGAAAAAGAGGCACTTAGCGCGACAACGATGCATGCAACTAAATTTAGCTCATTAGGCATGTAAATTACACGGCTTTTTGAAACTAATTGGGATAGGAGATATCGTTTGGGAGATGTGATTCGAGAGTGCTATTCAGAGCATTGGCCACTACAAAATGTGAAAATGTTTCTTGAAAGTGTTACAGATCTGATTTTAATTTAAGTGAAAGCGCTTGGAGCAAACAGCTCGGATCAGATGCTTGTCCCAGAAATAGTTGTTACGGTGTCACATCACACGCTGGCATTTGCTGTGCTGAGTCCTTCAGTGATATTTGGGAAAAAGATTGGTTCCATTTTATATCTCAAGTACTTATTGTGACAGGTTGTGGCTTTTCAGCCCTATGCCTGCATTCAGTTGTAAAGGTTTTGGTTAAATGGTTCCCACTGATGGGAAAGGGAGTGGCATGATGTAAGACAGCTTGATTTGATGATGCTGATAGCAGAATTTCTTTAATCCTGGTTGGTTGTGGCAAAGTCTTGAAAAATAAGAAACGGTCTGGATGGCTGCTGTGAAATGGGAACCTGCTAGCCTGAGCATACTTGGTACCTGTGCCACTTGCATTTCATGTGTCATTAACAGCACTGGCTAATGACTCCTTTGTGTCTGTTGCCCATTGTGTCAATGCAGCTATGGAGCATGTGCACCACTTTGATACTGAAATGCTTTAGTGCATTTTAGATGAGCAACAATTATGGCTCGGAATAGATCATCTTCAAAAGGATGCCTTTACTCTATGCTCAGTTTCTTTTTATGTCATCCAATTACTTTGTATGCAGCTAAATTACTTTTTGCAAAAATTATAAGTGGGTGGACTGTTCACTCTGTAAACAAAGAAACAAACAAACAAAAAAACCAAACACAAATGAAATTACACTGAGGGAACCTATTTTCCTGTCCTGGTTCTAATTTAAAACGCTTCTGTTCTGCTTCACGTTACCCTATATTTGCAGTTCAGCTCAGGTCTGCTTACTTACAGGTCTGGAAGGGACTGCAGGCCTAATTTCTCTTATTCCAGAGAGCTTAACTGCACGAGGGCTGAGATATTTGGTTTTTCAGTGTTGGTGGGCAAGTGGATTTTCATTAAAATAAACTCCTCAAACTAATTCACGTTTTTAATAAAAAATAAACTCTGGAAGTGTTAGAGTTGATGGCGTTGTGGGGGCTGCGTGGTGCCCATTGACATGCTGCTCACAGTGATAGCTGAATCCTGAAATTGCTCAGAAGGATCCGATTTCTGCTGCCTTAATGTTTAGTGTCACATTGAGCGTACCGGCATGCCGTGCTTTGCTGTTTGAGGTGTGTTTTATTCAGCCATTGGGAGCAAAGGTGAAGATTCGGACTTGTTTTAATTATGATATATTGGAAACCTGGAGAAAGCATTATTTTTCAAAATGTGTTTCCAAGCAGCTCGTGATTTCCCATCGGAGTCCCAGTGGTATGACTTCACTGCAGTGATTGTTGTGCTGATGACTTGCTATGGGAGCTGATCTAATCAGAAAAGAATTGCTACAATATATGCTTTGAAGAGGGAGTGCCATTTCTCCAAATTTCTCAGTTCTATAAACACTGCCTTTATTGTTTTTCTGAACCAAATGCAAAACATATTGCCTTCATGGTTTTAAGGTGAGCTTCAATCAGCAGTGTTAATGCTAACGTTTCTTTTTTTTAGGAGTTTATTTCCTCTTCACAAGAGCAGAATGCTCTTGTGTTCATTTCGGGCGTTATCAGGGTGCCAAACTATGTGTGCCCCAGCTGTTGAGTGCTGTAACTAGCAGAGTCAGCTGTACAGGATTCACCGCCTGCCTTGGAAGGCTGGGGGTCATGTGATGCCACACCATTAAGACATCCGGGCCTTAGGGTTTGGGGAAAAAAAATCACTCCCCTGTTTCAAGGTAGAAAATTCAGATTTTGCTCCTTGTCTTTTTCACTGGTCAGAATAGGCCACCGGGCTGGAAGGCCGTGCAAAGTCAATGACTTTGTTGCTTTAACTGTGGAAAGCAGGGTATGTGTGTGTCTCCAGACTGCATGCTGACCATGGCTGTGGCAGTAAATAATTAGGCAACTGTTTGCTAAATCTGAGATAGCACACAGGAGCTGTTTGCTATGTGAGAAAATATTGTTTTCTGACTCCTGGTCAATTCTGTTGCTGGCCATCATGTTTTTCTTCTTGATTTGCTTATTTCAGTGGCGGTATTTCTACAGTATTCTAATGGATAGAAAAAAAATAAAGCCATGTTATCTCAGAGGATTCAGAGATCATATCCAGTCAAGCTACTTAAGGGCACAAATTGCTGCTATAAATTTCTATAGGTGCTGCTGATGGAGGCAAAGCCTTAATTGCGATAGGGGCATTGAAGTGTCCAAATATTTTGCCAGAAATATTTGACACATTTCATATCTTATTTGCGATTGAACAGGAAGATGAGAGATAATACAAATATAGCTAGGAGTTCAGCTTTATCTAAAACTGCTTTTGATTCCTCTGGGAGGTTGTAAATGAACTGCAAAAATCAGTCTGTTACTTTGTTTGTCATATCACCATTGCCTGGGAACTAAAAATAATGAAATTATTGTTAGCTGCAATCTTACTGATAAGTTGTTTCTCCTGACTTCACAATAAGAAAATGTCCCATAGATTTGGATACATTTGAGTTTAAAAATATTAGATGCCATCTCTACCAGATGGTGGCTGTGTGTTGTTGCATTCCGACGTGATTTGAGCATTAAGTACCAGAAGATCAATGTCTTTACATACAGTGCATTCATTAGATTTACTCTGGCATAGGTCTTAAGTAAGACATGCATCAAGACTTATGAGTCCCCCTCATTTTCTTTTTTTCTGTTCCTGTAGCAGATATTTAAATTCCAGTTGCAACAGCTCTCTTTTCTGCAAAACTTTGAGCAATTATGTAACAAAGTTTCCTCCCTTTGACATCATTATTGAAACATTAACACTTGTCAAAATTATTTGACAACATTATTGAAATTGCCTAATGATGACAACAAGGTTGTTCTTTCTGGAAAAGAGCTGTTTCATGGAGTTAACTAAGAGATTACAGTTATTCAACAATGTTGTTAATACCACATAGACTATAGAAGTTGAAAATATATGAGGTTTTCTGGTCCATGCCGACCTTTTAATGCTGTGAATTTGTGAATACAATTTGCCTGCATTGTTGTCAATGAGAGGAAAGGTGTCACATAAATATTTTCTTCAGATTGGACACGTGGCCACTGCTTCTTTAGAATACTGCCAGCTTGCTGCAAGAGGGGCAGGTTTGTGCAGAGCAAACTCAGGTTGAGTTTCAGCTTTGTTCTACTTCAGTAATAGCATTTCTCTTTAGGCTGAAGAAATGTCATTCTCTGTTTCCAGCTGAAGCAGCTCTGTTTTCTGAGGAACAAGTCAGCGTTGGACAAGAGCTAGTGGGTCATCTGTTGTGTTTGGTTGCCTGAGTAGGGTTCAGGGCAATGCCACTTGTGTGCTGCAATGCTCCATTGCGGGTAGATTCAAGTAAAGCAGTCCTCACGTTGTTTGGGTGTGTTTTTTGAATTAATATCAGAAATGTGAATGCTCACACACACAGAGATGGATAATGACTTCAAAAAAGGATCATTTGCTCAGAGCAGGTGCTGAAAACGAAGACACTTTGGTATTTTAGGAATTTGGAATTTTCTGCATTTGTTCAGTGTCAGACTTAGGCCCAGCTCTGAAATCAGTGATTTTCTGAAACTTCTTGTTTGTATTTTGAACTCAGGGGCCTTAATGACAACTTCCAGAAATCTTGTTCTGGACTC